CTGCCTCTTGTGGTGTCTTCTCCATTCAGTTTTCTGGGAGTGGTTCTTCCCTGATGTCCCTGGGAAAGGCTTGAGTGGCTCCAGGTTGCCACGCCCTTCCTCAGGAGTCTGCCCCTCAGCCCTGCTCAGGTTCCTCGCCCCTGCTTGGTGGGGAAGAGAGTACAGATGTTATTTCTTGTGCTGCTCACAAAGGGAAAACACTAACATTCCCAGGAGGGGGGGATGTGCCTAAGAACGCTCCACACCTCTCCCCTTAGAACAGGGCTGACCATGGTCACTTGAGTGCAAGAGGCCAAACTCCCAGGGGTCCCAGCACTGGGGAAGGAGGAGAAGGTCAGTGTCCCATAGGGCCTGCTAATAGTCCCCAAAGTCAATGAATATGAGAATCAGCACCCACGATTCTCTCCCTACCCTGAGGCCCATCTCAGTGGGGAGAACAGCATCACCACACACCGGCACTGACACCACTCTCACGAGGACACACACGGATGGGGGGGGAAGAGATAGCTCAGTGGTTTGGCCTGCTAAACCCAGGGTTGTGAGTTCAATCCTTGAGGGGGCCACTTAGGGATCTGGACTCAATGACCCTTTGGGGTCCCTTCCAGTTCTATGAGATAGGTATATCTCCATATATTTATTTTATTTAACACTCACAGTGTGATGGATCCCAACGGCTCCATGTTCTATGGAAAATGGGGGAAGGGGAGAGACTGAGGGAATCTGCGTAAGGGGAGAGATGGAGTTTCTAGGGGAATGTCAGGATGAGGAGCTGTAGCACTTCTCATGTTTGGGCTTCAATCCCTATTGTAATACTCTGTGAGGGGAGAGTTTGCAGCTGAAGGACAATTCGTGAAATGAGCTCTCCGGCTCCCACTGGTGTTTTCCATGGTACTATGAAGGCTTCTGTCTCTGTATTCCAAACCCCCAACCTAATTTAACACTCTTTAATGTTGGCCATAACAGTGTCATGTTAACACCTTTGTCTCTCTGGGCCCGTGTAGTCTATATGAATTAATACAATATTGTCCAAGCTCAGCCAGCAGCTCAGTGGCAGAATGAAGAATAGAGTCCAGGTCTCCTCACTCCCACAACATGATGTTGCCTCCCAACCAGTCCTGGAGAGTAATAAGGAAATCCCTTATTAATGTCAATTCAGAGCCCCAAAAAGCGATGGAACGATGTTGGGTCCCTACAAAACTGGGCCTGAACTTGGAAGGGAGATTCCCAAGTGCTGCTCAGCCATTGATTCAGACAGCCAGCGTAGGATTACAAACACTTTGGTGGACAGGATTAGAATTCTGAATGATCTTGAGAAACCGGAGAATTGGTGTGAAATCAACAAGGTGAAATTCAAGAAACACAAGTACAAAGTAGTTTACCTAGGAAGGAAAAATGAAATGCACAATAGAAAATAGGGAATAACTATCTTGGCAGCAGTGCAGCAGAAAAGAATATGGTGGTTACAATGGATCATGAATAGAATGAGAGCTGACAATGCGATACTGTTCTAAAAAAGCCTAACACCATTAGACTAAAAGACTAACATTCCAAGCTGTATTGTCACTTTGGTAAAAATGTATCAGGATTCCAGCTGCCTTCAAGCTACTGGTTGGATCCCTCCACATCATTTTAACTCCTTCCTCACCTGGGTGGGTGCCTCTTAGGATGTCTCCATCTTCTGTGAGACCCTGGACACACAGCTCTTCCCCTCGCTCTATGCTGGAGATCACCACTGGCTTGGGGGTCTGGATTCCTGCTTAGAGAAAAGCATCACCCCTAAGAACTTGTAGCGAAAGATCTGCTGCACTTTGCGCAGATCCATATGCAATGTTTGTGCCAATTAGGCTATAAACTAATTGTGAAGGCTAATAGGCAATTGTTTTCCATGGAAACATGAACTGCAGCTTATGGTCTGCCATTTCCACAGGTGCCAGGTTGTTTGCAACTCAATATCCTGCCACTAACTGACAGTGGAGAGGACTGCGGTGTCTGACGGGATTGGGGGGAACAATGTTGCAAAAGCTGGATATTTCTTCTTGTCCTAGGAGAATAGAGTGTTACTCTACTATGGCCCAGCACCCCTCTCCCTCCTGTGGATATGTTTACATAGGAATTAAACACCTGTAGCTGGCCTGGGTCAGATGACTTGGGCTGCGGGACTGCAAAATTGCTGAGTTGCTATTCGGAGGGAGGGACCCAGAGCCCAGGCTCCAACCCCAGCATGAACATATACACTGCCATTTTTAGCCCCCCAGCCTGAGTTCCACATCCTGAGTCAACTGACCCGGGCAAACCACGGCCGTGGTGTTTGTCTTTTAAACCAGCATAGATGAACCCAGTCTGTGTCTCTCATTAACTGTGGTGTTGGCTGGCCTTTCATCCTGTAGACCTGCAGAACACACGGCCCTTTTCTGCTCATGTGCTCTGTCTGGGGAACTACAAGAGCCAGGATTCTCTTGCATTAAACTGTGGAGCAGTAGTGACTATGGGTGGAAGGATCTCCTCTTGAAGATATGAAGTGTAGTTGTAGACGTATCAGTCCCAGGATATTAGAGACCAAGTGAGTGAGGTAATATCTTTTACTGGACCAACTTCTGTTGGTGAGAGAGACAAGCTTTCCTTTCCCAGACCTGAAGAAGAGCTCTGTGTGGCTCAAAAGCTTGTCTCTCTCACCAACAGAAGTTGGACCAGTAAAAGATATTACCTCACCCACCTGGTCTCCCCATGAACTGGTTGCTCTGCTCAATTAAACATGTCTCTATCGATCCACACCTATGCGCCCCTCCTTCAAACCCCATAGACACCTCTCCACCCAACCACTCATACCAATGCGCCATCTCAGTTACTGTGTCTCTGTGCCCTGGGGCCCTGATCTCACAGACGCAGCTCCTCACCTAGTGAGACCAGAGTCTGGTAATTTTCCCACATGACGTGTCTGTAAAGTTGCTTTTGCTCCTCGCCCAGCAGTGCCCACTCCGCTGGGGAGAAATACATGGCCACATCCTCAAACGTCACCGACATCTG